AACAAATTATTTGCTCAGACAGAACCATCAGCAACCTTACCTTGCAAACAAGCTTGCATTTGCGCGCAAGGACAATACACTGCATAAAAGCAAACTTCAGCTCCAAGATTAGAGGTAGTAGAAAAGCGATCACAAAACTTGAGAAGAAATTGTGAGAGAAAAAAAATCTGTGTGGGACAAAACTCAGTGCAGACTTGCACTCTCCCCAAAGCTGAGGAAAGTGACAGATGGTCATTTTGTGAAAGCTGGGGTAAAGTCCAAAACATGACCAAAGCTCTTTAGTCAAGCACTGCAGTTAGCATTAAACAGAAAATATTTCAGGTTTAAGGAGAGAGAAATCTTGATTATTTAGCTTTCACACAGGTGTGGAGAATTTGCCTTTTCTCATAAGAGAAAAGTGAATACAAAGGTAAGATAAAGAAGCATCACTTTGGGATCAGGTGAAAATGTGTTCAGCAGTAAGACAGACAAAACTAACTTGGAACTGTGATCCTCTTCGGTACCATCTGAAAGTTGTATTTTCAGGGAGTTCACTGACATAGCTTAGACTGGTAAAGGGTGCGAGGGACAAAAATACATAGGGAAAAAACATGCAGAAACACAAATCAATCTTTTCTAGTTGTTTTTTTTTTTTTTCTCTCCTCTTTTCTTTTTTTTTTGAAGTGAACAGAACCTTATGACCAAAGTAGTACTGAAGAAGAAGAAAAAAAAAATCTGAGGGACAGTTTTTTTTTTTTTTTTTCCGAAGTGGTACAAACATAGAGGAACAGCCTAGCTGAATGTGGTATAAAATACTTCAGTCCTGCTTTCCTACTCCCGGCTTGCCGAAGTTAACGATCAAAGGCTCTGTCGAAACTTCGCTTCTGGCCTCGGCTTCGGAAGCGGTTTCTCCCGGAGCCCCCCCGCCTTCCATTCCGGGAGCTGGAGAAACTCCGGCCGCTTCCACCACCGCCTCCGCCTCGCTGCGACTCCAGCAGCTCGGGTAACTCGGTGGCCACACACAGGCGCCACTGCTTCGAGTCCTCCCATTGTCCCTGGTAGAGGAAAGTCACACGTGTCCAGTTAATCTCCAGGAACACAGTCTATTGCATCATTGTTAAACGAGCCTGACCGAACAAGCAAGGAAAAGGTGCTGGCAAACACGGGGTATTCAACTTTCAAACTGATCTGGTCGACAGAGTTCTCAAGATTTTCAGAATAAAAGCTGCACGTGTCCGAGAGCAGCCTCATGAGTAAACCCTCTCCACACTTTCTCATTGATGGCAGTGCTGCTAGAAATCCCACTGATCCCCCGACACCCACCTCATGCCACCCAACTTGGAGCAAAACGTCGTTTCAGGAGGGAGCAAATGCTGGGAAATGAGGACAAGGGGCTGTGCTAGGGGAGGAATACCCGAAGGGAAGATTGGAAGTCTAGGGACTTCGGGCATGCAAATATTAGCTCTGTCAAAAATTTTTAAAAATATTAATTTGGAATTTCCAATGGGAAAATCTGATCTTGAATTCACTTTGTGCAGGAAATTCTGGGTGAAGAGATTGGCAACATGGAGAAAAGGTCTCCTAAGCACAATGAAACACATGTCGACAAAACCCAATCCCATAGCATTAAGAAGGGTGGGGAGCTCACTGGGGGAATATTTTAAAGAAATTATCAGTGTATGCTTGTTCTGCTCTGCTCTTCCTTCATTTGGCATCCCTTTCAGACACTACAAAAAATCAGGATACAGGGTAGATAAAAATCTTCAACTTGGTCCTGTCAAGACCATTTGACCTAGTCTGCCATAACTAGAAACTCAAATAAGTACCTCTATTTCCTTTTGGTCTGCTGCAGGAATATCAAAGCACACACCCTAAAAAGAGAGAATAATTTTAATTGATTCAAATGTCAACTTTCTAACTGATTACAATTAGGAAAAAAAACACGCAACAGAAACTAAAAAACGATGTATATTTTCCTTATTGTGCATAGATAGCAATTCCAGTTTACATCCCTTGCTCTTTTAACAAGCTTATAAGCCTTTCCATCCTGGACTGTGGTCCACTGACTTGTGCATTACTCATTTTGTAAATTCTTCCAAAATCAGAAGCTTGGATACAAAAATTTGCAAATTTGTGGTATGAAAAATTGTCTGTAGTGTTCCCCACATCAAATACAGGAAAATGCTTTGAACTGAGACAGAAGCAAGGGTAATAAGAGAAGTAGTATCAATTAAGCCAGTATCAAATAGCAAATGAGAAGGGCACATTCTAAAACGAAACTGTGATAGAAGAAGTGGTTCAATGGCATAAACAATATCCTTTAAGGCAATTTTTAATTCAGAAATGTTCTGAACAAGAAATCTGGTAGGTTTCATAAAAAAAAAAACCCCACCATAAAGTGAGGTGTGAGGTGTGTGGGTCAGCTTCTACAAAGGTAGCAGGAATGAAGGTATGTAGAAGAATATACACAAGGCACCCCAAATATCTCATATTTGCTGAGAAAAGGCTACCACAGCAGCACAGAGCAGCAAAGATACCAAAAACTTACCATTCTTCCCTTGATGAAGCACATTCTGCTCACCTTCCTGTCAATATCATCCCCCAACTGCTCTCGCAAACTTCGCCAAGCATAACTCATATTGTTTATTTCTTCAGAGCAGCGTAGTATCATTGTAACAAATCCCTAAAGAGAAGACATGGGCTTACGTTTCATTCAGTCAGAGCTTCAGTCCATCCACCAAACATGAGAAACCTGCTTATTCACACACTATAAACCTAGTCTTAAAGACTGCCACCATTACAGTGGTTATAAATACCCTTGTTCTCCCACATTTCTGCTCCAATATTTTAACTAAAAAAGTAGTTCATTGTGGCTTCATTGTACGTGCCATACACAAAATCATAAGGAGATAAATATGCACTCGGAGGTTTTGTTTTTCCAAATTGCAGGCAAATGATGAGCTGATAACCACACTTACAGCATCTGAGTTGAGCAGGGAGCGCTGTTCAATGGAAGTGGCCCCTGAAATGTGGGCTAGAGCTGCAGCCAGGGCATTCACTGGCCCCTTCTCTTGTATTAGCCACCGAGCAGATTCTTTGAAATACTCAATAGCAGTCTGAGGAACAGAATCCAGACACCTAGGTAGGTATTTAAAGCAAAAAGATTGTTAGACAAAGAAAAAATAGGCAGGGATATTTAGTGGACTCTAGAACAGAGGGAAAAAACACCAGAAAAAGACTTTTAACAGAGATCAGTTATTGACTGGTATCACCACTCTTGCAGAGAGATGGCAAAAAACCATTCAAAGGGTCGTTTTGAATTAGAAAGATATGAAGATATCCAAGGGCTTCAGCCACTGAACATACCTGATGGCATCTTTGCTGGAAGCTTTTATTATATCTGTAGCAGTAGGAACACCAACACGCTTAAATGTAATGCCCTGAAATTTATAGTGAAATGCAGATGAATGTTACAGGCCATAAATAACTGAGTTCTAAAAGAAATATTGTTGGTTTTCAATGAAACAAGCATTTACACCTGACTTTTTGTGTGTTTTTCACCATTTAACTCCCTACTTTTGCTTCTGAAATTTACAGGTTAAGCTCACAGGAAAAATGGCTGTGTACAGAAGCCAGTTTAAATTATCCAGTAGCTTTAACTCAGATGAATAGAAACCATGTTGACTATTCCAGACAAAAACCCCTATATACTCTACACAAAATTATAAATCCAAGCAAATCCAATTAAATTTAAGCATATCACAAAGCCTTTCTAAATCAAAGTCTCCTGAATTTTACATGCCTAAGATGAATGCTTAATCGGTGAGAAAGCTGTGTATGGCATAGCACAAAGAGTATAAATTGGTGTAACAATTCTCAGTAAAGCTACAAATACACAGATTTACTGATCCTGTGATAAGCCCAGGTGAACAGGAAGCTGAAATCCAGGCTAGCTTCTTTTTTATTTCCACACGTATGATCTCGCTGGCATTTGCTGAAAACTGTGGATGTGAGAATCAGCAGCACACTGCCTGCTCCACAGTGAACGACCCCAAATCTCCAAGATGAATTGAACTTCAGGTGCACGTTTATAAGGTATTATGTTCCATACGGAAATAACTGAACAAAGTAAGACCTGGAGATTTTAGCTGCTACCCTATAACATTCTGTTTGAGTGCCCATGACTAGAAGAAAACTGAACTTTACCGCTTTTTGCTCCACGTATCTTAGCTGGTTTTCTTCCTTTCGCTGATAAAAACAAATACAGATCCCAGTCCGGCCAGCTCGACCTGTGCGTCCGGAACGGTGGATGTAGGATTCCACGTCCTTCAAAATAAATAACCTTATGCTTTATCCTATTAAATCGGTTCATTAAGAGTTAGGCTCATAACATAATAGAAGCTGTTCCTGGTAAGTCCGGGCAATACTCAGTAATTGCACCGGAGAAGCTAGAGGAAGTGGGTCTCCTTCCTACCTTTGGAGGTGAACCTTGCACAACCAGGTCAACTTCTGGGATGTCCAAACCACGGGCAGCCACATTAGTTGCAACCAGAACTTTAAACGTGCCATTTCTAAAACCCTTCAGTGTTATCTCCCTTTGCTTTTGAGGAATGTCTCCATGCAATGACTGGCAGTCCTGAAAAACAGGATAACAAATACCAAAGTCAATCCATTAAATTAACTGCAGAATGAAATTTCATTTTATGGTCACTTCTGGCTACAATATCATGATATACAATAGCTATCCTAAGCTATCAAAGAAGTGAATTAGGAGAACTTGTATTTTAGGAGTCTTGCAATGTTTACTCAGTGCTTCTTACTCACATACCCCAAGGACCTTTAACAATGAAGGGAAAGCAGAACAGCAGTGCACGCCCTAGCAAAGGCCACAATTAGAGATGGATATAACATCTGTGCCCCAACTTACAGTCCACGTCCATGTGCGAGACTGAGGTTGTTTCCAAATAGGCATCTCCAACACAGTGCCCTCAGGTCTTCACAGTACTCCATTTTACACCTTTTTCCAAAACAGTGTTACCTCTTACTCCTCTAAATACAATCTGTTTTCCCTCTACCGATTAAAGGTCAAAACCAGAAGAGATTTAAAAAAAAAAAAAACCTAGCACAATGTTAGGATCACTACAGAGTCCAAAAAATCATTTTCAGATTAATGATTGAGACTTTAGATTAATGCCACGTGAGAGACGTAATATTCTGTTAGCGAGCATTAAAATGCTGAATCAGAAACATCTAAGTAATTTCCTTCTCTTACCTGCCAGGCTCAGAGTTCTGCATTGCCTATGCAAGATTTGATACCACTAACACCACCAGTAACGCAGGACAAGGCTCCACGCTCGGGGTTAGCTGTTAGTGAGGTCATCTAGGAGTGCGGGAGAAACACTCCTGAACCCAGACGTGGCAGATGAAAAAGCTTCTCCTTTCCCTGGAAACATAATGCTACACTGCTTGCTAGACACATGGTAACCCAGCTCCTCCGTGAAAACACAGCAAGAGAAGCTGCCAGGAGAGCAACACAGGGTGGTGGTTGTTATATCTGTGACAGGTTTGTTACCCAATATAGGAGACAAAAATACCTGCTTGATTGAAGCATTTAGGGCCAGTTCATTCGCCTCCTTTTTGGTCTCACAAAAGACTATGGTCCGCCCGTGGCTGCCGCTGTAGACCTGAATGACGTCCCCAATAACCGCAGCTCTCTGAGACCAGTGACACTCTATAGCCAAATGCTGTGGAAAAGAATCCCAATGTTTAGCTTGCGTAAAAACACAAGAGTACCTTTCAGTACGTTTTAAACTGTAAAATCCACAAATTCCAAAGTGCTTCTCGAGGGACAAACTACGCTAACTGTATATTCGTCTCCTTTCATTTACAACTCTGATACATACACTCAGCTCCTGCTTTTCTCTGAAAGCAGAAACAACAAACAACTGAAACACGGTGGGCTGAAAGCCTACACGGTTACTGAGTGATGTAAGAAACCAATCCTAAATCCAGCAACAGTCTGAATAGCTGTAATGTGTCACGTGCCTAAAAAGTATTTCTCAAAGCAACTTTTTGACAGTATAGCTTGTGATTTCAGGCAGAAAGGAAAACAACTGAGAATTCCACATGAGATAGGTTACTCACTTCTACTGTTGTAGCAGCCTTCTGAGTTCTTCTCCCAATAAGGTCAATCTGCTCATACTTAGACTTCATGTATTTCTTAGCTACATCATACACCCAATGTGGGCAAGTTGCAGAAAACAGTAGCGTCTGGGGATTGTCTTCAGAATCTTGAAACACAGAAGAATGTTTCAAAACCTTGGTTTCTTGTGGCTTATAGAGGCATATTAGCTTAGCACAAAGCAAGTTAAAAATATCAATCAAATCTCACTATCCAAAATACATAAAAAGTAGAATAATTACCAGCATAGAGAGGAAAAGAAAAATAAAACTCTCTACAAAGTCAAACTCTCTTCAAGTTCAGGGAAGAAAAAAAAAAAAAAAAAGCTATGAACAAAAATCCAGTCTGCTTTCAAATGATGCAAAGGGCAAAAAGCTTTTAAATCCTTTCCATTAGAAGAGATTCAAGTACAATTTATAGATAGGTTTCTAAACAGTCTATAAAAATCCCTAGTTACTGGACTGTAATTTTGCAAAGGTCCCATAAACAATTTCCAATTTCACATCCTTTCCTTACATATTACCTTCACAGCACATTTTCTGAAATACCCTGTTCAGTCTTTCCAAAACAAAACCACCTCGTAAGCTACAAAAACCATACCTGCGTTTCAGTAGACTAATGACTACTAATATTCCTTACTATTTGTTTAAATATTGCGATTACCCTTCTTGTACGCAACTCGTAATATGTCCTCCACTTGCTCAGCAAACCCCATGTCCAACATCTGGTCCACTTCATCAAGGACAACGTGTTTCACCTTGCTGAGGTCCAGCTTGCCATTCTGAAGGTGGTCTTTGATTCGACCAGGTGTGCCCACCAAAATATCAATGCCACTTCTAATGAGATCAACTGATAAAAAAAAAAAAAGGAAAAAGAAGTTAGCAACCAGCTAGTGAGCATTCTGTGCATTAGAAAGACTTATTAACTGAGTAATGAGGCAACAGCTCCTTAAACATCCGTAACTTCTCATTAGAACTTGTCAAACATACAGGTTTTCTAGCCTTACAATCCCATTATCGCATTCATACCCAAAACCATACCCACCCGCAGCTCTAAGATGTGATTTAAAAAAAAAAAAAAAACAAAGTGTAAATGTTTACAAGAACGTATAGGAAATACTCCGTAAACACACACAGAGCGCAATCTCTTTTATTTTGGTTTACAGTACAAAACAGACAAAGAATAGTAAGGATACAGTGGAAAACTATATACACTGAGCTACTAAACTCCCCATGAATACCCTCCAGGTCCTGAACGCAAGTGCGTGTTTGGAAAGGGCCAATTGCATTTATCAAACACGTCAACCAATCCCGTTTTCAATTACTGGTCACTCACTTTGCCCATTATATGGAGTTCCTCCATAAAAACAAGCTACTGTGAGTTTTCTTGTGATGTCCTTGAAGTCTTTGGCAACCTGGTTTGCCAGCTCTCTTGTTGGAGCAAGAACTAATACCTAGGTAGAAGGAAAACAAAAGAGAGAGATTCTCTCAGTGTGAATTTTGCCAAAAATTCACTGGACTCAGTGAACTGCACCTCAGTTAAACCATTTAAACATTACAATATTTAAAAGCAATTCAGGTTGAAATAAAGTTATCTAAGCAAAGTCAAGGAAAATACATTGCTTAAGATTCTCAGAAAATCATTAATCACCCTCAGCACACATTCATATAAGACAATCTGTTTTTTTTTAAATGCAATATACAGGAGGTACTTAAATCTTACTAACTTCATCTCTAGAGCATATCAGCTGTAAGAATTTTCTTCTAGATGTGCACATACTTCAGTTTAATAGTGGTTGCAAACCTGGAACCTTGAAATACTAGAGCTATAATTGCTTCCAACATGGATACATTAAAGTGAGAAGCGGTGCACTACGGTAGAGTGAGGCCTGAAAACTTTCCTATTTTAAGACCGGCCTTCTTTGAAGAAAGCTTTCCTTTTCTGCACTGTGCTAAAACTGCAACCAGCACCCTCAGACAGTCACCCTCTATCGAGATTGGCAGGTGTAAAGGACAAATCATCTGGATTTAGCTCTGCAATATGAGTTTCAGGTAATCTATGAGACAGGTGAAAAGACAAATTAAACAAGTTTTCTCCCATAAATGAGGATATGATCAGCTTTGCCATGTCTAGTTTTGGAGGTCACCTCAAGAATTTTGTGACAGGAGATGCACAGCACATCTGCATTCCCTCGCAGAATGCAGGAAGCTACTTATTAGTCTTCATCCTCTGCAGAAAAAGCCTCGAAACCTGGTGCTGGTCCTGATGAAAAATAAGCCTATTCTGGAAATATTCCACTACTTACTACTTAAACAAACTGCTTAAGCAGATAGTCCTTTATCAGTTAAAAAGGTCTCTAATCTGTTGCTAACCTGGAGAAAAAAGGCAGGCATCCAGAGATGTCCTAAACATCGAATCTCACAGCAAAGCCACCCATCCTCGCTGGTAGTTACCTTTGGTGAACGGCCTCTTCTTCTTTCCTGTGTATCAGCCTGAAGCTTTTCAATTAAGGGAATTGCAAAGGAGAACGTTTTCCCGGTTCCAGTTCGTGCCTGGGCAATTACATCTTTGCCAGAATACACCGGGTGGAAGGTCTTTACTTGCACAGGGAACAGGTACGTTACTCCTCGAGCTGTGGCAATTCAAAGAGACTTCTTTAGTACAACCCTGTTACAGAGAAAGTCATCCCAGGCAGCACACTCGCCAACTCTAGAGTAAGTGAGGACTCCAGCAGCTCTTTCAGTGCTACATTTCATCACTGAACTCAACTTAGAGAGCCCTGGGATTCCCCAACCCACTCCCCACTTCCGTATCACTAGAGATACTGCTAGCTTGGGCAAACTGAGTTGCTCTCCTTCAATATAAGGGTCTTAAAATACTGTGGCTTTATTTATGTGATAACGCCCATCTATGCAGATCTGTTACTTGCAAGCCAGAACGTTTCTGCTCTGATCTGAGTTTCAATTAAATCAGCCATTCTAATGTCTGAGATGCTTCGTTTATCAAGATACTTAATATATCTTTTACTCTCACAGAAGTAACTTTTGCTTTCTGTGTAATATCTGTGCTTGCAACACACAAGAAAGCACATCTCCAGTGTTGACTGGATACGCTTAGAGAAAAAAAAAGACAGAAATAATATATTTTCTGTGATCATGTGACGCCAGTAAACTTACCTTGAAGTAGCTGAATGGTCCCCTTGGAAATACAAAAATTGGAGAAAGCACCTTCTTTCTGTTCTTCAGTCAACTCCTGCTTGGTAAAGAACAATTCAGAGAGCATATGAGTATTGTATAATCATTCAGAAAATTCAGGATAACGATACATGCATTAATGTCACTAACGTCATAGGCAAAAGTCACATATGCAGTGACAGTATCGCACATACGGACGCAGATCCTTCTTTATTTTACTTAATATTATATTTCAGAGTTGCACGAAGGTGATCTGCAATAAGACCTCACTTCATATCTTATGGCATAACTCTCTAGCTGCCGAATACCCCATTAAACTTTATAACAACATGTTTAAGCAATTCCCAGTGGCCACAAATACTGTCTTGTAGCAGGTAAGAACCAAGCTTAGCATTTAGCCTATGTCCTACTCCCAGGGTAAATCCCAGGTATGATAGGATATGTTTTCCTTCTTTAAAGACAGTTCATCAAAAGCAATTTCAAAGAACCAAAATCAAGCAAAAATAATCAGCCAAAATAAAAATTAAAAACTCTTCTTACTAAAAGGTTTAAAGGCTTATAAGCTTGACATGACAACACATTTTACTGTACTAGGAAGCATCTTATCACACCTAACTACTACTAAGCAAGCTCAGGCATAGACGTAGGCAAAGATGCCATGTTTTCATTTTGCACTAGGTAGAAACAGCTAATTATCATCTGCTCGGAAACGAGCTCCCCATAACAAAAACACGTCAGCTAAGGCACGTTTCTGGCCGTTCCAACCCCACCTGACGGTGCTGAATCATATTAAAGCACCCGCTCTCCGCAGCGTGCCCGGCCGCCAGCGGTTACCGCGCGGCGCCGGGACCTTGGGCCTTCTCGGAACGCGCGAGTTCCACAGATAATGGGCACAGGAGCCAGCTGGGGCTGCCGGCGGGCCCGGGGGGCGGCCGGCGGGCCCGGACTCACCTGCTCGGGCTCGCTGTCGCCGTCGGCGCTGGACGTCTCGCTGGAGTGGCTGTGGCGCTGCCTGCGGGCCGCCCTGGCGCCC